ATCTTGATGTGGATAACGCCAAAGATCAGGTAGAGTATGAGAAAGACAATGGCGAGAGGTACGTCAGGCACAATGGCAGGGGTTCCACCCAGGCCGGCATTGAGGGGCGCATATGGAGGGCCTCGACTGGCTTGCCCAGAAGCTCCAGACTGACCATGGTTAGTTGCGCGTAGGAGGAGGCTGGAATTGACATCACTCACTGGAGGTCCTTGGGTTCCTTGCTGCGACATCTTTGCCCGTTTGATGTTGGACGTATGAAACGTTTGCTGCAGAGGAGGTTGGAGAGAGCCAAAAAGCTCCACCTGGGAGGCGGGAACGAGGTGGTGTATATCAGGTTCTACTGCCACGCGACTGATGCAGTCTAAACGGTAGTATGCATCGCTTAGAGCAGAGCAGCGGCTGACCCAGATAAGCAAACTAGATGACGACTATGCAATAACCATACCATGTCCAATCCAATTGGGTGGACGGTCGTTCCATACGACGTGCCCGGCCTATCCGCAGCCGTGCCTAGATGTGGCAGCACAAGGCCTCACTGGATTGGGGCTACCGGCTTCTGCGGTGAGTGGATACCTACCGCACCCGTGGTACGCGAGCGATCTTTCCGCAGATCTAACGTTTGCTATTCTCAACGCATAGTATGCTTTTTCTCATTCAGTCTCCTTTCTGCGGTGTATAGGTGTTCTTGCATCTTGAAGAATGTACAACACGTTTTCCATGACCAAGAACACTGCTCACATTGCGCCGCAGTCAACTGTGCCTCAATAAGGTGCCTTCATGTTGACGTTATCGACGGCTGACGGTAGTACCGGGTCTCCTCAGTGATGCCGGAGATCAGCAGAACGCAGTTCCTGAGTGGATGGTCGGCGAAAACGTCAAACGAGCTCCGACCCAGATGAACCCAAACCGGGACAGGGCACTGCCTTGGGCACGGTGCTGAATGATGCGTCCATCGGGGGGTTTTGCAGAACAAAGGCCGACCTGCTTTTGCCCCGAAATAGACGTCGCATGTGAAAGCCTAGAGGAGGCTGAGAGATAAGGTGTCGCACTTGCATAAAGGAGCGAATTGAGCGTGTGTCAAGCTAGGGAAAAGGAGCAGTTGAGGTTGAGAATGGATATCTTGAGGTGTGGTGTGGCGGATGGCAGCTACCCCAGATTTTCGGAACGGTGAAACTGATCGGAATGATGCTGGAGCTCGACGTTGCGTGTGTCCAACCACAACGTTCAGCACATCGTAATCTCGGCCAATGCTTCCTCCAAACCCCGTCGTAGTTTCCGCAATTTCGTAGCCTTCGCCATGCCGCCCAAGACCAAACAACGCGCGGTCAAGCCTGCCGGCGCAAAGTCCAAGAAAGCCATCCCACAGCCCTTCACCGCAGCACCGGCTGAACTCGAGACGCTCCTATCCACCTTCGACCGCTCGCTCGTTTACATAACACATGTCGATGTGCATCCAGCCTGGTTCAAGCGGCGTATATTCGGCGTCCCCGTCCTCCTCAACACGGCCATAACCGCGCTCGTACTATGGCGCCTGTACGTCATCGGGCCTCACTACTGGGCCATCCTCATGTCCGTCATGGGAAACCACAATGAGACTACCATATACTGGACAGGCACGTCTTGGGCAACCCTGCTATGGGGGGTAGGAAAGCGCATGGCCATGTTCATGCTGGACTTCCTACTCTTCCGGTTCGTGGCGCTCTGGCCGTTCACCTTCTTCATTGAGCAGCCAGGCAATCCCGTGAGCTGGCGGTGGAATGTGGGCTTCAGGGACGAGGAGGTATACGTGCGGGTCAGCAGAGGATGGGGAGCTAAGGACCTGCTTGGGGAGGCTGAAGGTGGAAGTGGGCGTGCAGGCGCGGATAATCCCTTCTTCAAGACCAGAGTTCTGCCCGCGGTTGACAAGACGAGGTTGAGGGAGAAGACGGGATATCTGTTGATGGATTCAGACTTCGACCTGGACTTCTTTGGCATGGTTGCTGCCACGCAACTGCTCGATCGCAAGGACATCACACTCGACCACCTCCGCAAATGCGTCTTCGTCTACGTCGGCGACCCTGAAGCAGAGAACGGACAATGGGCCGTCTGGGAATGCGCGAAGCTCGACGAAGGCTCGGAAACCGAAGCGAGGGACAAGGTCATACAGTTCAAGGACCGGCTCACAGCCATGGGCAAGGAGAGCTTGTTCTTCAGATGGGTCGAGCTCATCCAGTACGAAAGCAACGCTCCGGGTGGCTTCACGCAAGAGCGACAGATAGCTGCCGCCGAGCAGGTGAAGAAGATGTTCGAAGACGAAGGAGTGGACTTCGAGGTATTTGAAAAGGAGATTGGGGGTATGGATGGGTTGGCAGGTGCATAGGCTGGACCTAACGTCGAGTTTCAGGATAGACAAAAAGGAAGCATGATTGGGGTTCGTGAACGCGTTGATAAGATACCCAATTTTGTACATTTCGAAGATTTACATCTACTCGTAAAGTCATGCCTACGTAGCATAAAAGATTATACATAATTCGTCTTGGACTCTCCGCTCAACTTCAGCCTCTACTCCTCAGCATCTTGCCCAATGATCCACCTAGTATCTTGGCCTCCTTACTTCTCGATCTTGGTGTTGGACTCGCATGCCTCGACTCCCGTGTCTTAGACTCTATGGGAGAAGTTTCCCTGCGCCTCCGTACGGCAGTGCCCTTAGCCTCTGCGCTGCTGGAAGAGTTGAGCGTGTCGCTGCGTTTCCGAAGACGGCGGGTAGGACTCGAAGAGGAGGTGGTTTGCGGGTGTGAATGGGACTGAGAAGTAGCATGTGGAGATACGGATGTAGATGTCGTTCTGCGTCTGCGCTTCTCTTCGGTATGTCTGGACTCTGGTATCCGCGCCGCCGCAGGGCTAGGAGTGCGTGTCCGTTCTTGTTCCCGTTGTTGATGTTTTTGTGTTTGTCTTTCCTGCTCGGCAATCACACTTCTCCTCTCCATGTCTTCCAATTCATCGATGGATACCTGCACCACCTTCTTCACTGGTGCAGCCTCTTCTCGACGTCTTCTCACAGGCACGTCACTCCTCGACGCAGCATACGCGTCTAGAAGTTTCTCAACCTCTTTGCGATTCGCATCTGTGCTGGCTAGACGGACAACTTCCAAGACGAGGAGGAAAGCGATAATGTAGCCGACGAAGAAGCCGGTCCTGGCCCAGAACTCTGGATTGATCAGGAACGAGAAGAGTTTGATTGTGGCGAGAAACATTTTGGCGTTTTGAGAACTGATCTTGCGTTGAACGTGGGAATGACCGAAGGATCGTAGTGTAGGCGCAAGCCAGATAGTGAGGTCGAACAGAAACGAGGGGCGGCGACAAAGAATGAGTGATAGTAAGCCTTCCGACCCCAAATTACGGCGTAAATACGGCGTCGTCGTCAACAAGAAGAGAATGTACTGTGTGCGGCCCGCGCTCGAAAGATAAGAATGTTGTTACACCGCACCGTCCGCAAGTTGCTAGACCTGCTTCACGTTGCTTTTACCTCCCTCGCGCAGCAGCGAGCCCCTCCACCTTTTAACGTCCTGTCAAGCCCCCACAGAGGGCGGCATACTGAGACACTTCGAGCCCACAAGGTACGCGTCCCAGGTGTTCCGCCCCTAAACCTTGCGAACGATACCCCAGAACCGGGAAACTATTAATGGTTGGAGGATTGGATGGGCGGCGCTTGAAACCAATCAGCATGTTTCAGCTGGGGTGATGCAAGGGTGTCTGAGTTAGCAGGTGTTTGAAGTCCGCAACACCATGCCGGATGCAGATGTGAACTTGTCTAGAAGCGAGGAGCGCGCGCCAATGGGCTGGGGTAGCGGCGCGATTGTGTATCAGTACCCAGGCGACGGTTCGCGTTGGTCGCTCGTCATCGGAGTCTGGCCGAGCAATCTGCAAATGGTGGCTTGCGTAGGTTTTGAGTTGAGGGGCAGAGAGTGCTCAGGTGGAAGCCCATACGTCACGTGCTGCGAGGACGCGCCGCTGCTCGCGGGGCAACAAGATGCTAGCCTTTCGGCATCACTGATACATCCAACAACAGCCGCATTGCGTATCGCATAACGAGCACTATAGTATATCGCAATCGCAAAATGCGATACTCTGCTGTCTGGCGACCACCCCAGAATATATTCCTCGTTGTTCCTTGTCGACGCTGCCCAGGTGTTCACTCATGCCCTGACCTATGTCGACTAATCGTCGATTACATGACGGCATACTTCTATTACACAGCGTCAGTAGGTATGTACAAGATCAGGTAGCACTTCTAGTCCCATGTAACGGCAGTATCAACCATGGAGACGCGTTGCTGGATGGTCCTCCAACTATCGACGCTCAACAGCGAGAACAGCTTTCAAAGAAGGGAGTAATCCTGTCGTTTAGAGTGATGTGCTAGGCAAAGGCTTCGACTACGCGCGCTACACTGGCGTAGATGAGGTAATTAGGGCTACCACCAGGTCGCTGTTGAGTAAACACTGGGCTCCACCTTTCACGTTGAGTTTGGAGCCGAGAGACCCCGCCTGCGCGCTCGAAGATACAAGTACAGGCTTGATCATCACGGCTGAAGCCAAAGCGTATGAAGAAAGGCTACGCCAGGAATTGGAGAAGGAAGAGGAAGAAGCCCGAGAACTGCAGGCCAAGCTTGAACAGAATAGACAACGAGCTACTCGAGGCTGATGCCACACAGGCGGAACTACCCAAAAAGATGCGAAGCAGATGTCTTAGTCCTTCATTCCGTCTCGATCACAAAAGCATCTTAAAGCCGAAGTTGAGGTATGCGATAAATTTCTTCTTATGCAATGATCAAGGATCAGTCGATAAACCAACACGACCCTTGCTGCTCACACGCGATATCCAAGACGCTATCATAATAATACAATCGTGGCGTATCCAACTCCTGTTTCAAACATGCGGCCCTAATAGACAAGACGCCTTCGCTGAATCAATGCGACAAAAGGAAAGTAATGAATGACTGTGACAAAAGCAATTCCTTGCCGTCACCTGCCCCCGGGCAGAATCTCGTCTTCAAACATGCTGTGATCCCAGCCCTTCTCCTCCATAAGTTTAGCCGCCTCGTCGCTAATCCAGTGGCTTTCCCTCATGGTGCTCCCAGCTTTGATAGTCTGGCTGGCACTGTAATTAACGGCCTGCGCCTCTTCGAAACCAAAGAATAAACTCCACATGGTGGCGGCAATCCAAGAAAAGAAGGACGATATTGGTACCCACCAGCCTTGAACGAAGGTCCGGTAGATGAGTGTGGGTATGACAAAGGGGAACTTGGGAGCCTTCATGTTGACGCTGAATGGGTGGGGCGACGAGTAAGCATACATCGGCTGGCAGTACATCTCGCTGTGAGACTAGTCAGTAACGTTCCTGTACGCGAAACGGCAGAACAGATGCAACATACCAAGCGATCTCTTCACTTATCCACCAAGTGAAAAGGACTATCAAGAAGATACTCAAGCCTGTGAGCCCGCCCCACGCTCTCCCCCAACTGTTCGATGTCTGGCGTAGGGTCTTCAATTGTTGCTGCCAAAACAGACTTTTCCACCATCTCAACATGGAAAAGCTCTGGACATGGTCGTCTATCGCGCAAGGGCATGCACGACTCACCACTTTGACTTTTTCGCCGTTTTCGCCCTCTTCTACGTGCTCGACTTGGTCTTCGACGCGCTTCATGCCGCGGCTTGCGTCGCGAATGCTGGTCCGCGCTGCGCGAAGCCGGTCGTTCATGCGGTGGAGATGTAACAGCTCCTGCTGTCGCTGGCGCTCTGCCTCGTTACGAGGAGTCTCGGTCGGTAGCTGAAGGCCTTGAAGAGTGTCTTCGTCTATTTGGCTTTCACCTGACGGAGCGATGAGATCTTCGAGTGAGTTGATGGTCGAATCGCCGAAGTCGGCTGATGGCCGTCTGCCTTGAGATTTGGCTTCGTCTACGAGAGCCTGCAATGCAGACTTTGGAAGCTGAGGGCGAACAGGCTCTAAGGGCATGGCTTCGGATGGCTCTTCGGCCTTCTCAGACGGTCTTCGCTTGCGCGGACTGCCTTTCTTGGGTGAAAGTGAACGCGACCTTGACGCTACGGCAGGTCTTTGTACTGTACGCGGGCCTGGTGTATCGACCCAAGCACCAGTCACCACTGGCGTCTTCGGGTTTAGGGCGGGTCGCTCTTTCGGCATTGGTGTAGCTTCCACCTGCTCGGTACTTGCCGCAGCTTCCTTGGATTCATTGTGCTCTTGCCGTACGGTCGAGGTCGCTGCTGCCGCATCGGGACCCTCAGCAGAGACGGGCGTCTCCTCTACAGAGGCGGGTTTGCTTTCAGATTGCGTAGTCTCGGTCAGCACAGTCTGCGGTGCGCTGTCGAGCGGTGCCGGGGGCGCAGATTCCGGTCTGGATGGTGCTGCCTGTCTCGGGCTTGGTGTATTGGAGACTCTCGCGAGCCGCCGCAATAGATCCTGTGAGTCTTCTCTTCGGTTCGGTATGCGTCTTGGTGGGACAGGCTGGGCTGTGACGACTACTTCGCGATCTACTGCAGCTATGTTCTCGGCACTCTTGTACATGGCAACTGGCGGGTCTTCCATGCCGATGCCCGTGACCGGCTGCGCCTTCCCAATGGACTGCCACGAATGGGTCCGCGTGCGCAGTCTCCGCTTCGGCGAAGGAGCTGGCTGTGTCACCTGATCTGTTATTCTCGCGCTGCTATCTACAGTGTCTAGCGTCCGTACAGAAGACGTCCGCGGGCGCGATTGTTCGGGCGACCCTTGGCGCATTCTCTCCAGCCGGGCAGTGGCTGCCTGCTCCTTGACACTCTCCATCTCTCTCTGCCGTATATCGTCTAGCACAGTGTTCCGTGGTATGTAAGGCGTGGATGCTATCATAGAGGCTTCGTTGAGCTCGAACGTAAGGTCCCACTCTTGCGACTGGTCGTTGCGTGGTGTGCCCTTGTGCGAGAGCGGGCTGTCTTCGACTGAGCGACGCGGCACGTTTGCATGTGCTTCATCGTAGTGGTCGTGTATTGTGTCGTCGGCTCGCTCGGGTGTCTGCTGCTGCTCTTCCTCGTACGTGATGGTACGCATCCAGTTCCGGTTGCTCCTGCTCTTCCTCCCCCATGTAGCTGGCGCGTGTATCGCCGGGTCGCTCCTCGCGCTCCCGGTGCTGCTGGGCGGGCTCTCAAATTTGACATGGCCATCCGCCCCAGCTACCGCGTTGTTCCTCTCCAGGTTGTCCAGAGTCAGCCCGACGCGTGGGTGCGTGCGTGCCTTCCGGAAAGCCTGCGGTCTGCTGCCCAGCGCCTGGTTCAGCCGCCGCTCGTCGCGCGCATTCTGGATCATGCGCTTCTCGAATTCGTCCTCGGCATCGTTTTCGAGGTCGCTCAGCGCAGACCCGACGGAAGCTGCATCTTGCACGTCGTCCTGGGTGCTCGCGGGCCGTTGGAGGTGGGCGTAGCGGGTGTTGATAACGTTGGCCGACGGCGGGGGAAGGGTTTGGAGGGGCTGGCGCGTCGTCATTTCCGGGCAGCCGTCCTGTCGTGATGGTGCATAGTAGTCTGAGCTGCGCGGAAGCTGAATCTATGCGTGGCTAAGTTATGTTGCGGCGGGACTGCAGCGGTAAGCGCATTGGCTTGTGCAGTTGTTGTCAACTCGACGCGTCCCGACTTTCACTAGGAACGTGCACCAAACGATCGCTGCAGGGATCTTATCGTCTATCTTGCCCAGGTGAGCATGCTTAGCCGACTCGACGCAGTTATATCGAAGTCAACGCTCGTCATTAGGCATTATAACATTATGCTTCGTATCATCATGCAGCCCTACGGCTCCTGGTCGTCTATGGCTGCGCATCTCTTCTTCACCATCTCCAAATCAGTATTGCCCTGCTCGTCCCTCCATGCACGCAGTACCTCCTCACGCATCACCCTCCGTGGCGCTCGCTTGCCGGTAAACAGCTCGAACTGAGCGAATGCCTGCTCGGGGATAAAGTCTAGACCGTCCATGTACGTCCATAGCTTCTTTGGCGCGTCGCGCACTTGCTGCGACAGTGGTGTATTGAGCGTCTTGTATGCCGTCTCCATCACGACACCGCCAGTCGGACTTTCCATCCACTGTGGAGGTAGCGAAAACTGCGCTGCTGGGCCCCCATCTATCGGATCCGTAGGTATGCACGAAATGATGATAGTAGGCTCCCGGAGATGCTCCGGCCAGCACTCATCGCGCGATTTCAATATCGTTAAGTTCGGCCGCATCTGCCGCATCTTCCGTGAGCTGACTTGGTCCACTGAGCTCGAGGCGAGCCGCGAGAAGTGCTCTACGAGACTCTCGGCTCTCTTGTAAGTTCGGTTGAAAATGGCAATGTTCATTACACCCAATTGCAACAGCGCGTAAACAGCTGCCCTCGCCATACCGCCAGCCCCAATAATGAGTCCGCACGTTGACGGCCGTACCGCGTTAGCTGGAGAGAGACCACGTCGTACGCAGGACCGTATCCCAATCCATTCAGTGTTGTCTCCATAGAGAGCTTGGACAGGCCCAGACTGGTTGCGCTCATGAAAGAGTTCGAGGTCGCTTGGGATGCTGCCATCGTCCTTTCTCCGACGTACAGGTATAACCGTGTTGACAGCGCCAATCGCTCGGGCATGTTGACTCAGTGAGTCTACCAGCGCCATTACCTCCATCTTGAAGGGCTGTATGACAATGGACCCACCGAAGTTCGGCTTGCGTACAAGCTCCTGGAGACGATTCACAGTCGGGCTCTCGATGCGACTGAAAACGTGTGGCATTCCGCAAGCATTGTACGCTGCATTGTGCATCGCTGGCGATACGCTGTATCCTAGGCGCACACCAATGATGTACATTTGCATGGGGTCGAATGTGAATGAATTGTAGAGGGCTTGTGTCACTTCTTTAGCAGTAAGCCAAGAATCGCGTGGGTACTGTGCTATTGACGCGGTATCGTCAGCCTCGTCCCTTTTCGAGGCCGCAACAACAGGCGTAAAATGTTGGTTGAAGCATACGGAGCGTCGACCAGCTCGTCCTGTATTATAACAAATCAAAGGGATCTGGGCATCCTGCGCTGCCATTCGACGACTGAAGCTGCGAACCGAGACATCGTCATCAATTGAATGAGCTGGCCGAGTAAATCGAACGACGGAACACCCAACACGTACGGCCTTTTCGTACTGTGCCACCCAAGAATGATCCTCCCATGGCTTGTCGGCATGTAGATGTCCGATCATCTTGGTTGTACCACGAGAGTTGATGACGTCCGCAAGCGCGCCAGGGTCCAGCGACAAGTCGATAGTCGCGTACTCAGGGACCAGGCGCAAACCATGATGTATGTATTCCAGATAGAGTGTTCGGCTGCCATCCGAGGTAGAAGTAGGCAGCACATGGTATATGATCGGTACCACTGTGCTTCTGCGTACTTTCGACACACAAGCGCTAACATCGTCCATGAGGGTGGCCATGGGACGTTGTTGACTCAAATCAAGGGTGATCTCAAAGGCGTCAGCGCCAACTTCTAGGCTTTGAACGTCGGCGTCTGGAGCAAGTATGTCTTGCAGCGATACCTGCACGGCACAGGTGTATTTCCGAAGCTCGGTTGCTACATCGGACAGCGGATAACCAGGTTCTAGTGGTGGAATGGACGCCCCAACCGACTCATCCGGAAGCTCGGGAGTCGTTATAAGCGACAAGTACTTGAGGAAGGTCCTCTGCGCCCTCTTCAGTGTGAGAAATGCTGGAGCCATGGTCTGGTCATCTGACGTGTCAACGTTCCCGGCTTTGGCTTCGGATATGTTATAAAACTCGTAATTAGAGCAGCGCCGTAGCATAGGTGCGGTAAAGGCGAACATGTCATTGAGTCTCTGCATGTCAGGCCGGCCCAGGTAGCTATGCAGGCTAGGAAGATCGCGCAGTACATGTACTACGGGATGTGTCCGACCAAAGTCTTGTATCAAGGTTTGCCCATTCCGCTCCAGAGAGACACCATTGCAGACAAGTATCGCGTCGTGGTCATGCTCATGAAGGAGACCTCTTAGCAGTTCTTCTTGTCGCAAATTATAGTTGGCCGCACCGAATTGCTTGCGGTATTTGGCAGTAGAAAAGCCCGTCGTGTCTTGGAACATGTCATCAATATCGACAACGCGCCTCCGGCAAGCCATCGAGGCAATGACAGCCAGGGTGGACTTGCCAGTTCCTGGCATACCGAGAAGCACGATGGAGGCATCCTTCTTGAATGTGCGGCGGCGATAACTCGCAGGAGCGGCGGGGGTGGGGGCAGCGAGAGGAGTGGAGCGGGTACCGAACATTGCGGAGGCTGTCGCTGGTCAGTATGCGACCGATCAAGGTACGGGTTATTTTCCTACACATGTCGCCCACACTGAGCTTCCGCCTCTGACGGGATCCACCAGTCCTGGATGGAGCGGCCTCCCCTGAAATTGGCCTATTGTGCCGGCGGTAGAAGTCACTGGTGGCTCCATCGTCCTCGCCCAAGGACGCAAAGACGCGTTTCCCAACCACCACAGAAGCCATAGTCGAGACCTCCAGGATGCGCAAGACTTATTTAAGGTACCCCTTGGCCCCCGGATCCGGTATCTGGTGTTCGGGAAGTGTGCTGTAGTTCCGGTGATCCCAGGGACAAAAGGTGAGGTGCGCTGTATATTGCTGAGCCGGGTGTGTTTGCGACCTCTATGTATATGCATGGTAAGGCCGTTAACACACAAAGAACCCCAGTCAGCCTGGGGAGTAGGGGAAGAGGTTGTAAGTAGGACAACGATTACATTTACGCGACGCCATGTCGCGATGGTGGTTGGGTACTGGCGCAGGGCACTTGTGTGCGAGGAGCACTCGCACATTGCAAGTTCCGGATAAGCTATCTTCCCCCTCTTTTGCGCCTTCCCGACTTCGCCTGGACACGCGACAACTTTGCACTCCCTTAACGTGCCTTCAGGGCGTACGAAAAAACTATCCGCGGGTCAATTATTACTCACACATGATAGATCCCCGGCCTTGCAGCTGATGAGCTCCGCGGCGCAGGTGGACAGTTCAAACGGTGGGTTGGCGGCGCCTGTCACCGAGCTTTGCCGCGTTTACTCATAATACCGCAGAAAACAAATCCGCGAACCATGCGAAGACGTCATTGGCAATTTTGTCACCCGAGATTAGTTTCGGCACCTGCTCACTCGCTGTCTTTTCGTCCGAATAAGGCTCATGCCTGCCCAAGCCCAGGCAAAGCGCCGTTCCGCACCCCAGCCGGAGGAGAAGCCTGCCAAACGAACCCGAGTATCACGAGCATGTGACCAGTGCCGTGTCGCCCGTGAGAAGTGCGACGGAGTACAGCCAACGTGCTCCACTTGCTCAGGAACGTCGAGAGAATGCTCGTACACTGCAAATCCCAAGAAAAGAGGTATCCAACCTGGCTACATTCGCACTCTTGAGCTAGCACTTGCCTATTTGTTCCAGCGAGACTCTGAAAATGAGACAGCTCTCCATGAGAAGCTGGCGCAAGAAGGAGCATCTTCACTACTATTGGGTCGTGGTGACTCGAAAGAGGCAAACAAGCTGCACAGACGATGGCGGAAAGCGAAATTTTACACCGAGGTGGATAAGCTACTATCTGGAGGAGAACCTTCGCGTCATGAACAATCGACTGGAATTTCACCTCATACCAGTGATGACGACTCCGGAGCAGACGAGTCTGTAGCTGCACATGCTAGCCATACCCAGGATCGCAGCGCCTACCTACAGGAGCATGTCGAGCATGCAAATCTCGATCAGCTTATGGCAGCGTCATCTGAACCAATATTGGGAGACAGCTGGAAGCTTATAGAGGTCTACTTCACCAACGTACAATCCTGGCTTCCAATCTGCGAGAAGCATGACATCTTGAAGACTGCCTACGACCTCCCTGTTCAGGGCATTCCAAGTGTATCTGGTCAGCCTGGATCTGGCTTGTTCGCTGAACTATGGAGCGTCCTGGCGGTGGGATCACTTTACGGAACAGCCATGACGTGTAATCCGTTGGACTCTTCATCAGTAAAGCCCAGGAAACTATACGAGCACGCCAAGTCGCTCGTACCCAGTGAACTGGATCGCCTCGACATTGGCCACATCAAAGCCCTTCTCAATTTGGTTGTCTTTAACATGTTGCGAATACATACTGGAGATGCCTGGTTGCTTGTTGGATCTGCCTCAAGAGTCCTGGAAAGTGTAGACCAGGTGACGCTGATGAGTAATCCCAGAGGCAAGCATGTTTATTTTGGTTGCTTTCTGCTCGATAGCATGCTAGCACTTCAACTCAAACGGCGTCCGCATTTCCGAAGAAGCGACTTCGTGCACCTTGGAACCATTGATGAAGACGGTCTGGAAGAGTGGCAACCATGGTCTGGCTTTCAGGATCCCTCACACGCAGGAAGGCGAGCCCCGTTACTCTCTCTCAGCATTTTCAACAGTCTTGTCGACCTTGTCGACGTACTCATTAGCATCGAAGATACAACAACACAGTATCTTTACAA